AGTACACAGGCCAGTTGTAAAGGAAGGTGACCTGCCCTGGCCAGTGTGGTTTCGTTGGTTGAGCGTCATCCTGTGTCCCAAGTGGTTGCCAGTTCAATTCCTGTTCAGGGCACACACTCCCCAGGAGGCAGTCAATTGATGGTTCTCTCTCATCAGTATTTCTCTCTCCCTCTACTTTCCTCTCTCTCTCAAATCCATTTTTTAAAAACGGTGACTTTATATGATGAGGTCTTCGAGTAAGTGCCATAGTAAGTTAAGAAGGGCTTGACGTTGGAGAAGGACAAGAAGTGCTGACGGGTTTTAAACTAACTTCTAACCACAGTGAACACAAACATCAAAGACGAGGGCCATCCTGACCTTAACCCTAATCCTAACACGGAGAGACTAAGAGAAAACCTCCCTATTTATCTCGAAGTTACTGGAAGGGAAGAGGAGAGAGGGAGTGTGAGTGTTTCGTAATCTTGAGCAGGCCAAGCAGAGCTGGAAATAGGGCTGCAGGAGGGAGGAATGACTTCAGGGACTGGACGCAGAGGACTTGATTCCAAAAATAATGGTCTCTCTTGATCAGATCCCGAGGGAAGCCCTTCACCTCTTGGTTCACAGCACCCTTCCTAGTAACTGAGAGAAGGTATTCGCCTCCTTCTTAAGGGTAAGACGTTTTTACAATAGTGCTGAGTAATTTGGTCCCTGTGCTGCCTCAGTGGGCTGTGCCCGGCAGTGCCCCAGGGTTCCTCCCTCTCTGTGATAAGCCTGGGGCCCCTGGGGTGTCTTCCTGTGTTCTTCCTGTCCCCTCGCTTACTTACTTATTTATTTTTGCTTTTATAACTTTAAAAAATACTGCTTTTCTGAAAAAGCTTTATAAAATTATTACCTACGTTTGCAAATATTTACATCCTAGAGAAGGATATACCACGAAAAGGCAGGGTTCCCTCCCACCATTCCTGTCCTTTCTCTCCAAGGCACTTCTATTCCCCGTTTCTTATATATACACTTAGAGAGGCTTCAATGCACACATCAGCCTTCCTCTCATGCTCGTTCTCTTTCTAAATTGGCATAACACCTGTTCTGTGTTTTTCTTTTTTTCTCAATTAACAATTAAGGTTTGGGAACCTCCCCAAATCAGCCTCACTCTGCTTCCCTTTTCACAGCTGTGTGGTTAGTGCTCCATGGTTGGATGTGCCATGGTTTGCTTACCAGTCCTTAGGGCCCTGGCTTTCATGGCACAAAGTCTGTTAAGAGTCAAAGGCATTTCCTTTGTCATTTCCTGCCCCCTATGTTTATGGGGCCTGCTGTGTGCAGACACAGGGACAGGTGTGGGGACGTGGAGAGGGGCACAGCCCATCCCTTGGGAACTCGGAGCCCAGTGGAGGAGGCAGACATTTAGGGGGCACCAAAGGGCAAGGCCAGCTCTGTGAGCTCACAGGGCTGTGGGGGCCCTTCCTGGCACTCCGTGCTTCTCCTGCCTTCAACTTCTCTGCCAAGGTGGAAAGTACAAGCAGCTGCCATCCAGAACGTGATCCTAGCTGAGGGTGTGTACAGTCGGGGAAAGAATCCTATAGGAAGGAAGTAAAAAAAACAACAACTCCCCGCCTCAAAGATATTACAGATAGAGCCCGGGGGACTCACAATACCTATAAAATTGGCGGGGGGGGGGGGGGGGCGTATTTAGCAAAGGCAGGAGGATCATCAGGAATGCAGAGGAAGGGACCAGTGCAAGGTGGCCAAAGACACAACTCATCTACTTCCAAATGTGTTCTGCCTCCCTCAGGGCAGAGCCTGACCCGACCTCTCCTTCCTCTCTCTGCCCCGAGCATGTCACCCTCCTGGCATTCCTAAAGGCTTTCCCGCCCATTCCCTTCCCGTGGTGTCTTCTGGATCAGGGAGGGCCCGCCACAGGGAGGCTCCCAGGTAGACCTCTGTGGGGACAAGCCCGGGGCCCACAGTGGCAGCAAATCTTGCCCAGAAGATGCCATACCCCACACATGGGTGAACATGGATGAAGTCACCAACACTGCGCCACCTTGCAGGAAAACACGGCGGGGAGTGCCTGGGAGGACTAGAGCAGGAAGACACGCTGAGGACGGGGAGTGCTGGGCAAAGCCCACAGGAAAGGGTGGGCCTCCTCTTCCCTATTGTGTAGACAGAGCAGAGGCAGGACAGACAGAGGGTCCCAGGGCTTCCGGAGAGAGAGACTGGGACTTTCACAGTTTGTCCTGTTTGTCAGGCCTGGCTCCACAGGGGAACAGCTGTGGGGCCTGGAGACACCCAGGCAGTGGGTCTGCTGGTGGCGGTGTCTGTGTGTGGGGAGGGGGGAGCGTGGGGAGGTGACAGAACCATCTAAATGGGCTCTTTTCCTCTCCAAGTGAAAGACTGTGCTTCCTATGCAGCCTCATAGCAAGCCAAGACCCCGCTACTACTATTTCTGGGCAAAAGCAAGTGAACAAAGAAACATAATGGCTGAACCATGGTCTCCTGGCGCGTCTTGGCCCAGCCACCCGGGGCCCTGCCTCTTGGACAGCTGGCTCCATCGCTCCCCCACACCAGCCAGTCAGAGAGCTTCGGGGTTCTCTTCCGGCTCCTGACTTCCACCTCCTCCCTGTCTGTACTGGTGCTACGGCCTCACAGCTCCTCACGTCTAAGGGCCCCTCCTGCCTCCAGCCAACACTCCCGCCCCCCAGTACCTCTAGTCCAAGTGGGTGAAGCCGCTGGACCCTTCCCCGCAGCACTTCCTTCCTCAGCCTCCGCCCCTCGGGGCTCCCACTGCCTTCCCTGTTCGGCCCAGCCCTCTCCCAAGAGCAGAGGCTGTGCCCTCCTCAGCGTGGGGTAGGTGCTCAGGCCACGAAGGGGCTACGGTGGAGGTGGACAGCTGGGGAGGGCTGCCCTTTGGGGGCCTAGATGACATCTGTCCGCTCACCCTGATTTGATGGTGAGGACGGGCGGTCAAATGGAGCTGGACAGGCAGTGAGAACAGGGTGCCAGGACTGCGGATCTTTGCAAGGGAGGGCGTCGGGGTGCGCAGGAGGCAGCTGATGAGTGATTTTCTCATCATTGATGTTTCTATCACTCTCTCCCTCTCCCTTCCTCTCTGAAATCAATAAAAATATATTTTTAAAAATAATGAAAAGAAGACTAGGAATCAGGGCATTGGGTCGGGGGGCGGGGGGTTCAACAGTTCGTGCGACTGTGGAATGGTGTTAAACAGTCCCGTTGAGCCAGCACGGAGAACAGACTGGGTGGAGACACAAGCCTCAGCCAGGGACTGAAGTCACCCCATTGCCTCCAGCAGCCTTTGGCCCCCGTCCCAGTGCCCTTCTCCCTCTGGTCTGCCCTGATCCCTCCTCGGAACCACCCTTACTTTGTGCAGCGCCTTGCTTAGCCGGCACTTACACGCTCGTTTCTGGAGGCCATGTGGAACCCGGGATGCGGCAGACTGTGCTCATCTGGCAGGAGGAGCCTCCCCATGTGGGCCCTGCCACCCAGGATTCAGCCAGAAGACATCCCCAAGCCCGGGGACCACCCGCCGGGCTTTGCTTCCACTCTGAACACCAGGGAGCCAGCTCATCAGAGCAGCCTCGGTGCTCTCTGAAGCGCGCCCCACGCTCCTTGCAATCGCCACCTTGAGGTCTAGGTGGCACCAAAACCTCACGCTCATTCCTCCCAGGTCGGGCACAGCCCACAGCCCACACCCCGGGAGAGAGCTGTTCCTACCGCGTCCTCCAAAAGCCTGGTCAGCTCAGCCCAGCGGGGTGCGAGCTCAGCTTTCTGGGTCCTGACCCTCCAAGTACAAGGGGCTGCAGACGTGTCATGGCCGTTTCCTGTCTGCCTTCTGCTTTGCTCGGTCCCCTGGGGACAGGTAGTGGGGACAGCCCTCGCTCTCTCATCTCAGCGTCAGGGACATCCCAAAGCAAGTACTGCAACGTGTTCTTTTCAAATGTAAAAAAGACAGAAAGAAAAGAAAATTACTGTAAAGATACTATGACATTAAATTCCCTTTTCAACTTGTTTAAAAAAAAAAAAGTATCCCAGTCATTTTTTCACGTGGTTCAACACAATAGGCGCCTGTAACCCTCCTTGGATATTTGAAATACGGTAGGAGCTCATCCTCCCTCCCTACACCACAGTCAGGTATCTTTTTGCAGCTCAACACCCATGGACAGGGTGGGGCAAAAGTAGGTGTACAGTTGTAAGCACACGACAGACTTTATTCTCGTATTATTTATTAATTATCGTAGCCTTTTCCATACGGGCAGCTCTAAACCCACGTTGCCCCGCCCTGGACATCTGTTCCGTGGCTGCTTTGCACTGAAGGCTTCCGGTGGGCGTTCATTCTGCAGCCTTCGCCGCGAGCCCTGAGGGCGGCACTGGATGGCGGGGAATTGGACGCGGTTCTCTGCGGAGCCCAGGCGCGCCGGGCAGCCAGGTGCTGCTGCGCCCGAGGAGGAAGAATGGGGCAGGTTTCGGGATGGGGTCATGGGGAGGGGTCCGTGGTGCAGACAGATGGCTCTGAGGAAGGGACGTGGAGCAGCAGAAACCTAAATAAAATGTTGGGATGAGCCGGTAGGGGAGGACCGATACCTGTCGGCAGCGGGGCAGCCTCCCTCCCCCTCAAGGTTAATGAGCAGGAAAAGTTGGGATTCTTGGCGCTCCGCGTCCTACCGCCCCAGACTCACGCTCTCTCTTCCTAGAACACCGTCCCTCCCAGGGAGTGTGTGTGTGTGTGTGTGTGTGTGTGTGTGTGTGTGTGTGTGTGTGTGTGTGTGTGCGTGTGTGTGCGTGTGTGTGCGTGTGTGTGCGCGCGCGCGCGGCCCCCCGCCTCCCCTTCCCACTTACCTCCCCCGGCATCCTCCTCCCCGGTGAGCGCGCCCAGGAGGGCCCCCCACCCCCACCCCAAGAGGAACGCCGAGCCGCAGCCGCCGAGGAAACGTGAAGTTTGTGCGGCTCAACATGACGCAAAAATTCTTGAAGAGCTCTTTGGCGGCGGCTATCTAGAGATCAGACCATGTGAGGGGCCGGGAGTACAAATACGGCGGCTCGGGCGCAGCGCCGGCACAGGCAGCGGCCACGCCGGGTGCCTCGAGGGCGCGAGGGTCCCCCGCATCGGCGAGCCCTGGGACCAGTCTCCCCGCGGACTGCCGGCAGGTGGGTCCGCTTTCCTTCTTGCTTCTAACCCACACTTCTTTCCAGAACTTCATGCGTCTCCGGCGCGCCAGGCACCTGGCGAGGGCGTGCGTGCGCCTGGGCGGTGGGCTCCTGGCGGCGCGGGGCCGAAGTCCGGCCGCAGGGAGAGGGGACCGTGGCGTGGGCGAGAGGACTCCGGAGGGCTTCTTTGTCTGCACCCGTGTGCTTCGTGGGGCCCCGAGTTCCAGTGCAAGACCCTTTACAGATGGTCTTAAGCACAGTGCCATCCTGCGCTCAGGGAAAAGTTGCCGTAGTTTCCCCCCATAGCTCACGTCTGATCTTGACTAACTGCCCTCGCGTGCAGGGGGCTGCGTGCGGAGGCGTTTCTGCGGGGAGGGAGCTGGTTGACACAAATGCCTAACTACCTAGAGAAATCTCTGAATGACACTTAAGGGGGACGAGTCTCGGTGCGCTTGGGTTGTTTTCCCTGGCAGAGCTGCTGCGCGCTCAGACATCTCGCAGGCCATTCAGAATTTATGTGAAATGCAAACCCCAGCCAGCTCTTTCGGCCCGCGCAAGTGCGAGACCATCAGGAGCTTGAGCAATGCATACGTTCAGATTTGGTTTTGAAAGATCCCTTGGGAGCTAAAGAGCACATTTCCTTTTGCACGGGGTGTTTTGCCTAATGAATTCCTTTTTCAGGGGGGGTTCTACAGAATTTGAGAAGGGTAGGATTTCTGAGTCAGACATAACAAAGGCTTGTGTGTATGTATTTTCATGACCAATTTTGCCCAGAAAAAAAAAAAATGAACCAGGTCATTAGATTATTTATGAGCCTGCTAGCTCTCACCATAGTAAGACGAGATCAAATATTTAATGGGTTTTGTTTTTAGTTACCTAGGAAAACATCTAAGAAAGCAACATTGGGATGTGAGTTTTATCCCAGAGTGTCGCTGTGGGCGGTATTCGTACTTGTGTTTCCGGGAGTGAAGGGAAACACTCAGCTTTGACTCTTTCTCCCACCGCTTTCTTTTGTGTGTAGCCACTGATGCCCAAAGGTTCAAGGTAGGGGTGTGAGGGTATAGGGGTGTGGGAGTGTGGGGCCGGGGGGAGGGGGGGTGTCTGCTTTCAGCATGGGTGAGAGGCAGGCTCTTAGAGGGCTTGTGCAAATTAAACAAGCCTTTTAGGGCATGGGTTTTTCTGTTGTTTGTACTGAACCCGAAGAAGAGCAGATTGAGACTGTGTCACAATGAATCAAAAGCCCCCTCGACACTGAGGATCCACGGAGGACATTTCATAGATGTGATGCCCGCACAGATACTCAAACCCGTCTCTCTCGACCTCCTTGCTTCAGAAATACATGTCCAAGGGATGAGTGGTGGGGTGGGAGTGGGGATGGAATCTTTTGAAGTTTTAATGAAATCAACAAAAGCCTCAGAAATTCCTCTTTGGGGGATGTCGAGCTGCCGCAGCATTTTGATAGAAGTCGGAGAGGCATGTCAAAGAGTTTCACCGATGGGCGAGATGACAGTGCAATGGGGTGCTTGTGTGTGTGTGGGGGGGAGGGGGGTGTTTCTTACAGCAGGCTTGCAAAACACCATGGATGACCCTCCAAAGCAGCGGTTCTCAACCTGTGGGTCGCGACCCCTTTGGCGGTCGAACGACCCTTTCACAGGGGTCGCCGAAGACCATCCTGCATATCAGATATTTACATGACGATTCATAACAGTAGCAACATGACAGTTATGAAGTAGCAACGAAAATAATTTTATGGTTGGGTCACAACATGAGGAACTGTATTTAAAGGGCCAGAAGGTTGAGAACCACTGCTCCAAAGAGAAACACAGGTAATCCCAGAAATTAAGCCAGGAAGTGGCCGTTCCTTCTTTATACTCATTGAATGGCATGACTTGAGAGAACAATGGCAGGGCTGCCTGAAGAAGCGTAATTTTAATGAATCAACAGTTTATTAAGTTTACGCTTCATGAATCAACAAGATATAGTCATGACTTGACTTTCTTTTTAACTAAGATGCCTGGATGGCCAAAGGGAAAATGCAGTCATTTGTCTGTCACTTTCAGAAATTACCTTGAACCGTTGTTATTCCAGGCCAGAGTATCAGTCCCTTTGGGTCTCTCGGGCTTTAGCGCTAAGTGAGGGCAGGAGGGGGTCCTGCATAACATGATGGCTAAGTCTCTTCCACTCATGCTGTGGCTGAGACCCTGGCCTTTCTGCTTTAAGCAGACACAAGTTGAAATGATGCAGCAAAATGCCCGAGGGCAGGACTCTGCCCAGATGCCACCATCAAATCAGGGTCCTCTGGGGGGGCCTCCTGGCTTTCACTCTAAGACAGAGGCTTTGCACACTCTTACACACACAGGTCAGGTTCTGCACCTCAAACATGTCCGATCAGCAGGCCCGAGCTCCCTGACTTCCTGACTCCCCCGTGCAAGAGGCCCAGGGTGTGGTGTAGTAGAAACAGCCTCCGGGCAAAGCTGGTTTGGGCTGAGTGGTCTTCTTCCCAGTCACTGAGGTTTGTGCACAGAACAGGCTGGGGTGTGGAGTGAAAAACGCCCCGTTTCTTCATCCCTGGGGCAACGGATGCTGACTGATCTGCTCCTGTGGGTCCGGGTGCTGCCAGCCTGATCCTGGACAAGGGTACTTGCCAGTTTCTGGGATTAACTGGACAAAATAGCACCGTAAGGAAAGCAAGTCGTCATCTGTTCAGGTGGAAGCAGATGGGACTAACCTTTAAAAGGAATGATTTTCCCTGGGCGGAGGGGTGAGCTGCTGTTCTAGGCGGGCCCAAGACCCAGGATCGGCAGACACAGACCCCTGATTTCTAGGCAGAGCTCATCCTTCTGACCTGAGTCCACATTCAGAAATGACCTCTGAGTCACGTTCCTGGGAAGGGGGCGTCCCTCCAGCTGACCTTTGTCAGCTCCCACTGACCGGGAAGATGAATGCTCATTTACAGAAGGTCAACAACATGCTTTTAAACCAAGTGTTTTCCCAGCCCTGGGTCTGTTATGGTGACAAAACGAGTAGAGATAAAGCAGGTCTGACTGCCTTATTTTCTTCTTTCCTTTGGCTCCCCTGGAACCTGGCAACAGCCCTCTCACTGCCCCCCCCCCCCCAACCCTGGACCAAGGAGACTTGTTAGTGGGTATTTAAACCATGTGCTGGAGACATGGAGGTGCCATCCCAGGGCCAGCTCAGTGACCAGGGTCGCCAGGCACTGACAGGTGGCAGATGGCATGGGGAAGGTCTCCTGAGGCCCAGTTCTTCATGTCATCATGTGACGTAGGGAGGGAAGAGGTGAGAATGGGGTTGGGACAGGACCAAGTGGCAAATCCCAGAGAGCCAATTGCTGCTCTGGAAGGATCCAGGGTGGGGGGCGGCGGGGGGGCAGGGAGGGCTGGTGGTGGGCTCGGTAGGAGGGAGCAAAGCGGTGGCCTTTGCCCTCTTGTGTTTTTGTGTGGCCTTTCTGGGTAGTCAAGAAAAAAAGACTGGTCTGCTTCCTTTGATACTGAGCTGCTGAATGAAAATAGAATACACGGGCTCTTTGGCTCTAAGAGGCTTCCTTGAGTTAGGGAGGGGCAGAGCTGGCAGGGCCTGGGAGGGGATCTGCTCAAGCTCCGCCAGCTTGAAGACACCGCCAGGCCTGGAACCTGAGGCTCCTGCACTCTGCTCTTTTCTCTCCCTGGGGTGTGTTGTTTTTAAATGCTAATCTAGTCAGCTGGCTCTTTCCCTGGTCTCAGAGGAAAGGAGCGGGCAGGGAGGAAGGCGGAGGGAAGGGGCCGGGGAGAGAGGAGATAGGCTATTCTGGGCACACCATGGGCAGCAGGGAGGTTTCCAGCTCCTCTGAGGACTAGAATTAGTTTTCTCCCCCGAATTTTTAATTTTGAAAAATTGCAACTAAAAAGGCAGAAAAATGGTCCGATGAACCCAGACTCACGAGTTGTTCGCATTTAGTCACACTTGTGTGTGTACTGTAATTTTACACATGTACCCAACTCTTGCATATGTAATGTATAGAGATTTGGATACGTTGCATAGAGTATAAGACACAATATAATAATTATACAATTTACATATGTCTATAATTTTTGCATTGAACTTTTGAGAATTTGCAGACATCTAAATACTGGCCGCTGAATACATCAGCCCATGTTTCCTAAGAACAAGGGCATTCTCCTACATCACAGCCCCATTGTTATCACATTTGGGAAACTTAACGTTGATAAAATATCACTATCAAATATACAGCCCATATTCAAGTCCCCCCCCCCCCCCCCCCCCCCCCACACACACACACACTCTTTCAGCGAGGTCCTTTTTAGCTTTGAGGGTGACTTTTTGAGGCTGGAATCTCCGAGAGACTGGGAACCCTTGTTGTAATGTGCTCCGCAAATCACAGAAGGATGCCTCAAGAAGTCTAATTAAAGAGGCACATTTAATGCAATCTGGGACTATGAGGGGCCATTCCCCAAATCTCACAGTAACAAGATAGTCGAAAAACCAGGTTTATATAGGCAAAAATCACAAAAGTATTGATTACATCCCAGGGTTTGGAATGAGGAACCTGGTTCGCAAAAAAGCAGTTTACAGAAGCAGAATTTAGCATGTTAATTACAGTTTTGGGTCACCGAGTTGATAGAAACACATTATCTGGGACTGCTGGGTTGACAGGAACACATTATCTAGAGCCCTCAGGTCTCGAGACCACTGAGTTGCCAGGAATTCATTATCTAGAGCCATCGAGGCAATTTAGAGTAATTGTGCTGTCCTGGTCTTGGGACCACTGAGTCAACTGGAACGCATTACCTGTGGCCACTAAAACAATTTAGGATAATTGTGCTGTCCTGTTTCCCGGGTCCAGAAGAATGTGCTTTCTAAAACCAGTAAGATAACAATCAATGGGATAGTCATTCAATCGAATGGGATGATGTATATACAATTCAGAAAATCAAAATAACTTTTCTATTGTTAAACCAAACAGCAGGGTTAGAGTTAAACTA